GTCCATGACAGAAATCTCCCGCTCACGCGTCATGTTGACGCGGATGATCTTCCAAGCGAGCAAACCGCCCTCGACATTGCCATATCCTTCCTCCGCCTTATTGAGGAAGAAGTAGCTGAGCACCGGGTCTGAGACCGAGGACGCCTGGCGGAAGAAGCCGTCGGCAAAGTTGGTCGTGAAACGCTGCTCGTTGGCGCTGTAGGGATAGACGTTGCGGACAGCGTCGACGAGACGCTGGTCAAAGTAGACCTGGCCGGCGTGGGTGGCGACGTTGTTCTGGAGGGTGCGGTTCGTCAGGGGGTCGGCGTAGTCTGCGTTGTGTGTCATGATGTGAACGTGCGGCGTGCGGCCGCCGTAGTGGCCGGGAAAGATGGATCCGAACCATACGGCGCCGTCGGAGTTTGTCGTCGAGATGCCGCGGCCGAATGTGGTCTTGCGGTTCGATGGGTCGAAGGAGTAGGGGACGCCCGAGTAGATGCCCGTAGCGTTCGTGTCTGATGGGACATTAGTCAACGTGAACTTCAAAACCTGGCTTTCTATGTAGGATTGCTGAATTGAAAGATAACACTACCGGGTCAAGAGGCAGTGTTCTTGGTGAGAGGAACCAATCTAAGCAGCGGTATAGTAGCAGCTCAGAGGGTGCGACGAAGAACTGGGCCACTTACGCCAAATCTCGACATACTGTCCCTCGACAGGCTTGCATGTCTCGGTATCGATGATCTGGAAGTCCAGGTACATCAGAACGCCCTGCTCCCCGTCCTGCAGGTTCCAACGCAGCTTTTCGCCCTCAATATCTACTCTTGTCAGCAATGGCCACGAAACGGGGGACCAGGCAGGCACTCACAGAAAGGACCCTCAGTAGACTCGGGCGTGAGCACGCATCCATCATCGCGGGTCGCAAAGATTTCGCGATCAGTAGACTTCCAGTTGACTGTGTTGTTCTCGTGATCCTTGCGAAGGACGCTAATAATGTCCCGACGGCGCATGTGGGTTTCGACGACGGCGGCGCGGCGCTCGATGGCCCGGGCAAGAACACCATCACGCTGGAGGGTGTCACGACAATGAGCCAGGTTGGTGGCGTGAGTAAGACTATACTTCTCCAGCTCGGCGAGCTCTTCGGCCTCGTGAGCGCCGTGAGCTGAGACGATACTGGCGAGTAGGAAGGCGCCGAGGAAGAGAGTCAGCAGACGGGCACCCATGATGCGGAGGTTGGGAGCCATGATTGTGACTTGATGCCGTCTAAGGTGTTTGATAACAATTGCGCCCTGCGGCAGGTGGTTCTAACGATGCTGTTTTGTGGGCGATGCAGATTGATGAATCGATCGGGGTGGTCTGCGTGAGGAATGTAGAGGGATATCGGAATGTGGAACGCAAGTGCCGAAGTCTGGGGTGCAGCGGCCAGAAAGTAAATATAGCAACTTCCCGATTCAGTGTTCAGTAGGACTGTGGAATGAAAGGAATAGAACGGAGGGGGGGACCAAAACCAGATGTCTTCATCGAGCATGTCTACCTACCTGGCTTTGCCTAAGCCGGAGCCGATGGAGAGAATAAGGAAGGTCAGGCCATGCAAAGATCTTCAATTCGCTATACTAAGAACACACTGAAACTTTTCGGAACCATGATAACATAAAGATATTATCATTATGAAAGACAACAGAGCGAGCAGTGGCATGTGATGATGATGTAGGATTCCTGTGTTGTACAGGGCATAAATGCGTGCATACCAACACATAGCAGATCACAATCACAGGATGTTATTCTGTTATTATGATTTTATTTCATTCATCTAAAAGATACTTCAAGTGAGTATCTTCTCTGGGCTATGTACACAAAAGGGTACAATGTCAGAATCATATCTGTATTACCAGCGGTTAGAAGAGATGCGGTTGCAACGCCAGGGTTGAGATTTCTCCTTCTCGTTTCCTTTTTCGAGTTTCATGGCCATATCCCCGATGTGTTTCATGAGCTCTGCAGGGTTGAGTTTCGAAGGTTCGTCCTGATCTGAAGAATCGTTCTTCTGCTTTTTGTCGAGGTCATTAAGGAAGTCAAGGACTTGCTGGAGGTCGTCTTGGAGACGTGGGAGACCGTCGGTACTCTGGGCCACGAGGAATGAGTTGTAAACCTCTGCTCCTTCATCAACGGAGCTGCGGCTTGCATTGATACTGCCAGCAATTCCAGCAACGCCTTTGTATACTCGACGGCATTTGGAATCGTACCAACGTGTTTCTCAACTTGGCGTATAGCGGTGCGGACACCGCTGGCCACACTACTGCCGCTGACTTCCTTCAATGACATTGAATTGGAAGACTTGCCTTTGGGTGGGGGCATAGGAGTTGGAAGACCGTCGATAATGATTTGATTGTAACTGTTGGCGGGATTATTCGCCGGGTCCAGAGAGGAGCTCTTCGCCGGTACATAGCGAGCCGTATTCGACTTACTGCCCTAAGTGCCCGACAAGCCAGTAGTGAATTGACCGCCAGTATTACGGCTAGTCGACTTACCTTATGTTGGAGCCATGAAAAATTCCCGAAGATGCGCAGTAGGTGGCTTCTCTAAAGGTTCAGGGCTTGAGTCGGCTTCCTCTCCCTCAACAAGGTCGGTAATATTCGTAGTACTAGCAGTACCTTCTCCCTCAACGATGAACTCGAGCCACTCCTCATTATGAGGGTTCCAGGTCTCGGCTGGGTGGCCAGCTTCGTCAGTAATCCAAGGTGGTTGCCCAAACTTTTCCATGAGGTCTTTGGCTTCGTCCTCTGGAACCGCCCTAGAAACACTGAAGGAATTCGTATAGATAATGTGCTTCAAATTGCCGTAGCGAGGATCGGGGAATCCTTCTTGGCGAGCCTTTGATCGGAATTCGTCAATACGACACTCGTGCTTCTTACACCACTCCTCAAAGAGCTTATTTGTCTTCGAGGTCTCCTTGGCGATGCCCTCTTCACTGCCGTATAGTTGTAAAGCGCGGTAGTATCCGTCGTAGGTTAAACAGCCTTTACTAAGTGCTCTGTAGAGCAGCTTAATAAATTGCTGGTCTCTCGACCGGTTCCGGTTCGTAGGGTAAGGGCAAACGGTATAACTTTTCGTCATGAGAAGTACACGTTATATCGTCGAAACGCCGCGATCGCTGCAAAGTCGACGATATTGGGATATTCCGATGACTGTGGGACAAAGAGGAGACCGTCGATGCAGTGCTGGGAAATTGTCGTGGTTGGGGCTTGAAGTATGGGATTATAGGTAGTGAGTGTGTAGTGGTGAGGTACGCTATTGGGTAGTAGATGGGGAATGGATTTCCTTCCATTGTAGGCGAGGCATCGAGTGTGGCAGGAGCTTCGTCGTCGATCATTCACTGGTGTCCAATATACCTAAGTAGTGCAAGAGTGTAAAGTACGAGCATTGTTCACTGTTTCCTTGGAAGGTTGTTATCTAGCGAAGTGCCACGGAGGACCTAACAATGGGAGCGTTTCTGGCAGCTTGCTAAGACAGTTTCGGGCAAGAGGTCAAGGCTTCGCCATCTTCTTTCGTTGTCACTCAAGCGTTGGCAGATCGCAACTTTTCACGTGTATCCTCGCTTGAGGCCTCCGTTATATAATAAACTGTACGAAGCAGACTGTTTACCTGTCCAGAATGCAAAGCATCGAACCGAACGCCATCAGTGTGAGACGGGACACAAAAAAACAGCAGGCATAGAATAAAGAGTAAAAGGTTTTAGAGAGCCATCGTTAAAAGACTACCGAAACGTCGCAGCATTATTTGGCGACGCAACCCATCTTCTAAAAGGCCCGCTCGCTCCCCGAATATCCGGTTGGTTGCGCGCGCGTACTCCATCACACCAGATTTTGCTCTACCACACCCAGCTCCAACCCAAGGCTGACCATCTGCTGCAAGTGAAAAAGTCTCCCTTTACCGTGAAGACATGGCCTTGGTGACGAGACGCTTAAGAGCGAGCTCCTGCTTCTTGAGGTCCTCAGCCGAGGCGTCGGTGATCTCAAGCTTGGCCATGGCCTCGCTGACCTGCTGCTCAATCTTGTCCTTCTGGCCGCGCTTGAGCTTGAGGGACAGTGTCGGGTCAGAGATGATCTCCTCAACGCGACCAATGTAGGACTCGAGCTGCTGCTTGGCCTCGAACTTCTTGGAGAAGGCCTCGTCGCTGGACTTGAACTTCTCGGCGTCTGTGTAGCGAATTAGCTGATGTCCAATGCACACGTGAGGGAATTGGGCTGACCGTTGATCATGTTCTCAATCTCGTGAGAAGAGAGCTTGCCGACAGAGTTGGAGATGGTGATGTTGGCGCTACGGCCGGAGGTCTTCTCGGTGGCGGTGACCTTGAGGATACCGTTGACGTCGACCTCGAAGACACACTCGAGGACGGCCTCACCGGCGCGCATGGGGGGGATGGGAGCAAGAGTGAATTCACCCAGCGAGGTGTTGTCCTCGCAGTTGACACGCTCACCCTGGTAGACGGGGAACTGGACGCTGTGAAACTGTGAGTAAATCTGGACTGACGTTCGGGATTTGGCAAGAAGAATAAGCGACATACGTTTGTTGGTTGTCGGCAACAGTGGTGAAGGTCCTCTTCTTGATACACGGAACAGTGTTGCCGCGAGGAACGACGGGGGCGAAGATGTTACCCTCCATGGCGACACCGAGGGAAAGGGGGCAGACGTCGAGAAGCAGGAGGTCGGCAGTCTCGGCGGAGGTGGCCTTGCCGGAGAGGATACCGGCCTGGACGGCGGCACCGTAGGCGACAGCCTCGTCGGGGTTGATGCTCTTCTCGAGCTTCTTGCCGTCGAAGAACTCGGACAGGAGCTTCTGGATACGGGGAATACGAGTGGAACCACCGACGAGGACAATCTCCTCAACGGCGCTCTTCTGGAGGTTGGCATCCTTCAGGACCTGAGCGACGGGCTCGAGGGTGCCGTTGAAGGCCTTGGCGTTGAGCTCCTCGAAACGGGCACGAGTGATCTGCATCTGGAAGTCCTCGCCGTCGAAGAGGGAGTCGATCTCAATGGTGGCCTGGGCACCGCTGGACAGGGTACGCTTGGCACGCTCGCAAGCAGTGCGGAGACGACGCAGGGCACGGGGGTCGTTGGAGATATCCTTCTTCGACTTGCGCTGGAAGTCCTTCTTGCAGTGCTCGAGGAGGCTGGTGTCGAAGTCCTGGCCACCAAGATGGGTGTTACCGGAAGTGGCCTTGACGGTGAAGACACCACCCTGGATGTTCAGGAGGGAGACATCGAAAGTACCACCACCGAGATCGTAGATGAGAACGTTGCGCTCCTTGTTGGACTTGCCAGCGCCGAGACCGTAGGCGATGGCGGCAGCGGTGGGCTCGTTGATGATACGGAGAACGTTGAGACCAGCGATGGCACCGGCGTCCTTGGTGGCCTGACGCTGGTTGTCGTTGAAGTAGGCGGGGACGGTGATGACGGCCTTCTCAACCTTCTTGCCGAGCTTGACCTCAGCAATCTCCTTCATCTGGGAGGTTGTTAGCAAATTTTCATTCTGGCTTTTTGTTGGGCCGTTTTTGGGTGGG